GTTTTGTCTCATCAGACCCAGCATCAAAATGTTTATTGCAATGAGTCATTGGTCTGGTTCAAGACCTCTGGCCTCTGGCAAACCATCATTACTGGGCCCTCCTGAACTCCTCTTGAATATCTTGCTGTTGCTCTAAGTCGTGGAGATACTGAAGTTACCATTCAGCGGGATGAGTTCCTTCATGTACTCCAGCAGGTCATAGATGGGGTAGATGTTAGGGTGGGCCAACCCAAGGTCCAAAATGTAACGGAGCCGGTTGGTCTAGGCCACTGGACCACCCATATTAGGCTAGGGGCAGAACCAGCTCTCCTAGGCCTATAGATGGTGAGGGATGGGACCATCTCTCCTGAGTTCATGGCTCAGTTCTCTCATGGAGATCAGGGTCAGCTCTTCTGCTACAGTGTCTAGTGAGGGACAGAACCAGCTATTCCAGGTCCAATGAGGGGCAGGGCTGGCTCAGCATTGCCTTTGTTTTCAACATGAATGATTACTATGACCCCTTGTGGCAACACAGGACACCGACATCATCACAGACCCTAGCAGGAGCAGAAACACAGACCAAGACATGACCCTGGGCAACAACTCAAGCCTGAACATCATTATGGTCCCAGTGGCAGCGCAGGCCATCCAGATCAGTATGGCCCAGGCAGCAACAAGGCCCTTGGACACCAATATGGCCTCAGCTGGCTGTGTAGACTCCTGGCATCTGCACAGCCCTTTCTGGTAACAGGAGCCACAGACATCAACTCAGACCCTGTCTGCTTCTGGGAATCAGTAATATTTTAAAGTTGATTCATACTATCCTTTGTTAAAACCTAGTCTCTCCCAATGGATAAGAAGCTGGATATCTTCAGGAGGGAGTTAGTGGATGTTCACGGTATTCCTCTCTTCTGGAGCATTGCTGAGCAGTGGTCCCAAGTGGAGTCATTTGAGGCCCGACCTGATGATCTTTTGATCTCGACCTATCCCAAATCTGGTAATAACTTTTAATTTATTTACTCTAGGCAGTTAGATTATGATCCATACTCATGCTTGCTTAAAGATACTTGTCTTTTAGTGCAGACATTCATGTTTCATTCATTAAAGTGTTATATACATAGATTAACCAAAGAAGATATTTCAGTGCTTCAGTTACTATTATGGTAACAGATAAGAAGGTATTTTTTTCTTTCCTATCATATTCTTTCAGTACAAATGCCCCCAACTCACCTGATAATCAAAGGATTTAGGCAATTGAATAGACTATGTTCTGATTTGATTTTGGTACATTTTTCAAAGGACTAGTGGAACACTATCATACTTGTCAGTGAATCACTGTACCGAGCTCAAATGGGTCCTATTGTTGTATATAGCATCATGATTATTAAAGGCAAAAGTTCTCCGTATTCTGTTTTCATACCCCCCCCACTATATGTTGATCATCTTTATCTGACTTTCGTTTTAATTCTAAGCTATAATATTTTTTATATTGATAGGAAGTATATGAACTGATAATTTCATCAAAGTTGACTATTTCCTCTGCCCAGTCTACTCAGGAGCCAACTCAAATGTGTTTTAGAATATTTTGACTCAAGTCACACCATTCTAAACAAGGACTATTGATGAGAGGAAGGGAGTGTGCTATTACTTGTACACTGTCTCTTCCACACCTTTGTTTTATCTACTTTTTAAAGCTATTAAGTTAGATTTTATGCAATAAAATCTATATCCCCATAGATGAGATTATAGTGGTTCATTCCTTTGACCCCAGCACTCTGAGGGCAATGGCAGATTGATATCTGAGTTTGAGGCCAGCCTGGTCTGCAGAACCAGTTTCAGGACAACAACGCCTATACAGGCTATATCCTATCTTGAAAAACCAAAAGAAAACCCAAATAAACACAAAAAGAGAGATTTTCCTGAGAAGGAGTAGCAGAAAGAAAGGAAGTAGAAATAAAAACCACATTTTGTTTGCTTGTTTGTTTGTTTCAGATGTTAGAAAACACCTCTGCCTCTCTTGACTTTCTCAGGTAATTTTTAGCAGAGACATTTAATTTCTTCCATTTTCCCCTTAGGGACAACCTGGATCAGTGAAATATTGGATTTGATCTATAACAATGGGGATGCAGAAAAGTGTAAACGGGATGCAATCTACAAACGAGTTCCTTTCATGGAGCTTATAATTCCTGGATTGTCAAATGGTATTTGCCCTGAGTATTCCTTTCTGTTATAGGAATAAAGTCACCTGTGTTCTACATATCTGTGAAGCAGTCAAGAACAACAATAATACAAAAAGAACAAGCACTCTAAAATTGCTATGTTTCTAATTCAAATAAAAAATCTGCAAAAAAAGTAGAAAGTAAAAAAATCACTCCTTAAAGGAGTTACAATTTTGTTAGACCCCATTTCTTCAAAAATAATAAAATCTATGTATGAGAGATCTTGATCTAGCTTAAATCTCTTAATATGTGGAAGACTTTATCATTTAACTAGTGTGTCATAGTACATAAAGGAAATTCAATATTTCATTCAACAAAATTTTATGTGACTACTTAGTTTATATATGATATTCATATAATAGAAAAGAATATATATTATATATATAAACTCAAAGCAAAATATGGGAATACAATGCTTTGCATTATTTTAAATCTTGAAAAAATGGAAATGAATATTATGACATGATTCTATTATAGAGTTTGAACATGAGGGAGCTTAACAAGGACTTTGAAATATTTTCATATTGTAAATAAGATAAAAGAATGAAGAGAGAATCTAGAAACTATTTCACAACTGGTCTCTGCTCCATTAAAATGACACAAATAAAGAACTGTTTTACAGACAACTGTGAAGATCATTATACAATTGTACTTATCGAGAGTAAAATATTCCAGTTAGCTATGATTTTTTTATTATTATTATTTTCCAACTTTTTTATTTGAATTAGAAACAGGATTGTTTTACATGACAATCCCAGTTCCCTTCTCTCACCCTTCCTTCCCTACCACGCCCCCCAACTAAAACCCTATCTATCACATAACCTTTCTGCTCCCCATGGATGGTGAGGCCTTCCATAGGTTGTCATCAGTGTCTATCCTATCCTTTGGGATAGGGCCTAGGCCCACCCCGTGTGTCTTGGCTCAGGGAGTATTCCTCTATATGGAATGGGCTCCCAAAGTCCACAGCTATGCTAAGGATAAGTACTGAACTTCTACAGGAGGTCCCGTAGATTTCTGAGGTTTCCTCACAGAAACAGGCTTCCTTCCCAGTCTGGGGAGCAAGAGTTCCTGGATGTTCAGATCAGCTGTTTCTGTTGTTTTCACCAGCCTGGTCTGGACCCCTGTGCTCTTCACTCATCCTTCTCTGCATAGTATGTATTCTTTGACATTTTAGGAACATGGGAATCTGTAGAGCCTTCCTTATAGCCAACAAAACAGAAAAACAACATTACCAAGCCATCAATGATTGGAAGTCATAGGATAAATTGAAAGTAACCATGTGATTCCACACTTATAACAATTTGTTAATGTGCATGCTTGCAGGTGTTGAACTGTTGAAAAACATGCATTCTCCTCGACTGGTGAAAACTCACCTACCTGTTCAACTTCTTCCTTCCTCATTTTGGAAAAATGACTGCAAGGTAGCAAGTGAAAAATAAACCTCTGTATTTTCATTTCTTTTTGTTTCTTTTTAAATTATGACAAGGAGCCAAAGGTTCCGAAATTTATTTTTCTAAGATTATTGATGATTTGATTTTTAAACATTTATTTTAAGGTTTATTTTTAGAACTTCATACTTGAGTACTATAATTTGCATCATTTTACCCTACCCACTTCTCACTATAAATCCTCCTTTGCTCCCTAACTTTCCCTCAAATTCATGACCTGTTGTTTTTTTTTTTTTTTTTGAGAATAGAATATGATTACATCATTTCCATCTTCCATTTCCTCCCTCTAACCACACCCACATACTTCTCCCTCTTGCTGTCATTCAAATTCATGGCTTTTTCCCTTTAATTGTTGACATAAATGTGTGTGTGACATATATATGACATATATATCAACATATAAATATGTGTGTATACATACATGTACATGTATATGTATATATTCTTCAACATATACAACCTGCTCAGTCTGTATAATGTTACTGGTATGTATTAAGTTTTTAATTACAAAGTAAGGTATTTTGAATGTTAGATGAGTCATTACAAAATAATAGAATGGCAGTTATAGTCAAGGGTCAACATGACAATACTAGACACAAATTATGATGAAAGGGATGAACACTATGTCTGAATCACTGTCAGATTTTCTCTCATTTTTTTTTACTTTTTTTCTTTGTAATTTTTATTTAGAAATAATCTTATTTTACATGTCAATCTCAGTTCCCTCTACCTTCCTTCCTCTTATGCCCCCACCAACCCCCATCCCACTCACTAGTGAGGGTGAAGCCTTCCATGGGGGAATCATCAAAGTCTGTATGAGAGAGTAGCCCTCCATGGGGAATGGGCTCCCAAAGTCCATTTGTGCAATAGGGATAAATACTGCTTCTTCTGTCAGAAGTCTCATAGTCTGCCCAGGCTCTGAACTGACACCCACATACAGAAGGTTTGGTTCAGTCCAATGCTGGTTCCCCAGTTTTATGACTGGGGTCTGTGTGTTCCCACTTGATCAGGTCAGCTGTTTCTGTGGGTTTCTCCAGCATGGTCTTGATCCCTTTGCTTGTCCCTCCTCCCTCTCTACAACTGGATTCCAGGAGTTCAGCTCAGTGTTTAGCTGTGGGTGTCTGCTTCTGCTTCCATCAGTCACTGGATGAGGCTCTAGGATGGCATATAAAGTAGTCATCCATCTCATTATAGGGGAAGGACATTTAAGGTAGCTTCTCCACTATTGCTTAGATTCTTAGTTGTGGTCATCCTTGTGAATCTCTGGAAATTTCTCCAGTACCAGATTTCTCTTTAAACCTATAATGGCTCCTCTTTATTAAGGTATCTTTTTTATTGCTTGCCTCTATTCTTCCCCTGACTCAGTCTTCCTGATCCCTCATGTTCTGTCATTTCACCTGTCATTCAACTACATTTAAATTATTTATGATCAAATATTACTGGAACAGATTCATTGAAATATATGAATTGACAGTTATATGTAATTCTATAAATGAATAATTAAATATTTATAAACAGATATTATTTGCAGATGATAAGTCTAGAAGCAATCCAGTATAATGTATAAATACTATTGTACTAATTATAAGTGATATATAATTATACAGATGCATACATTTTATGATTGTATTTTAATAAATTTTTCAAGCATAACATTTGGGGAGAAATACAAGCACACTAAGTAAATAGCTTCATGATTATTTAAGAAATGAGCATACACTTGAAACCCAGTCAAAGTATTGCATCATCCCCAAAATTGAGTTCCAATTTTTGTGTTTTCACTGTTAGTAACTTTGCTTGTTTTCCCTGTAATTATAAACTGTGTATAATGTAAGTTTGCCATCATTTCTCTCAAGACACATGTGAAAGCTGTTCCTATTGTGTAAGTTTATGTGTTCTGTTGTTTTACAGAAAGCAGCCAACCAGCTCCCTATACATGCAATTTTCAGGTTTTATTCAGATATTTTGATGTCACCAATTGTGTGAATGAAGACCAAAATTCCACATTTTAACAAGTGCACATTTAAATTTTATTCACATTAAAATCTGAAGACCAATAACATACAGTGTCATATCCATGTGACCAGTTCATAGCTTATTTATGAATAGTACTATTGATAGATGGTTGAGTTGCTACCCATTGTCAGTAATAGAAATAGTGTTGCTGTGCATATTTCTGTCTTTTCATGAATGTGTGCACATTTTTTCTTGGCTGCATATTTAGGGATAGAATTGTTAAAACTTAACATGCTCACTCATTTGTTTAGTAGATATTTTAAAATACTACTTGAAGTAGTGATGTGCAGGGTTAACTAAGTTGCTCTATGCTTTCATTAACATGAAATATGGGCAAACCATTTCATTTTAGTCACATCAGTGGATACCCAGGGGTTGATTTTCTGATTTCTTATTGACTAAGTTAGGACCTTTGTTATGGCTTATGGAGTACTTGGATATCTTCCCTGAGTTATCTCTTCTTTTGTCTCATTTTACATAATGGATTCCTTCTTCTCAATACATACACACAAAAAGAGAGAAAGAGACAGAGACAGAGTGAGACAGAGAGACAGAGACAGAGACAGAAACAGAGAAACAGACATTTTAGTAGTGAGAATTAAAAAAAGTCCCAGAAGGAGGCATAGTTTGCTTTTAGGAGTTTGTGGAGACATCCTCAAATCATCCTCTCTATACTAAACTAAGTCAAATACATTTTGCAAAAAGGCTATGGATGTTATTGCTAGATTCTTTGGGCTAATTGCCATAGTCAACTAATACTGAGGAGGCCCAGTAGATGGGCTCCTTAAAAGAAATTCCTAGGACTCATGGCAGATCTGTCATATTCTCTCTTTCATTCCCTCTCTCTCTCTCTGTCTCTCTCTGTGTGTCTCTGTCTCTCTGTCTCAGTCACTCTCTCTGTCACTCTCTGTCTCTCTGGCCCCTCTCTTTCTGTATCTCTTCCTACCTCCAAGGAGGTCAGAAGACAACTTGTGGGACTCAGTTAGCTCTGTCATCATGTGGATTCTGGGGGAAAAAATTAAATCATCATTCTTGAATACAAGTGTCTTTATTCTTTGAGCTATCTTGTCATGCCCAGAGTAATTTTCATTGAGCAATAATTCTTCATTCATGCAGATCTTAAAAAATTTGATAATAGAAAACTAATCCCATGCATATTGTTACATACCAAAGCTATGTAACAATAAGGAATTTTAATCTTTTTCTAGCTCTAAATTTCCCTAGTAATGGTTTTTCCTCAATGAGAGTGCAGATATTTTTCAGCTTAAAGTGTTTTATTTCATTTTATTAATTTTGGTTTTTGACAATTTCATACTTGTATATATGCATTCCGATTATTGTCATCCATACCCTCTTTTGTCTGTCTCCTATCCCTTTATGTATGTTTAATATATTTTAATTGTCAATTTAAATATGCTATATATATGAATGTTCTAAATTTAAGAATATATAAGCTACTTGCTTAACTTAATATTTAATGTAGTTTTTTCCAAACTTTCATTGTTTTAAAATTGAAAGTAGATTCTTCTCTCAAAGAATACATCTCTATCACAGATTCCCCTCCCTCCTTTTCCCCTAGACTCTCTTCAACTCTTCTTTCCTCTAGATCCACCCCCCCTCCAGTTCATCCCCAGAAAAGAGCAGATCTTCAAGAGACAACAACCAAAACAGGACAAAACAAGATACAATAGACAAGCAAAAATCCTCATACCATGTCTGGACAAAGCAACCAAATAGGAGGAAAGGAGTCACAATAGCAGGCAAAAGAGTCAGAGGCTCACTGGCTCCCACAATTAGAGTCCCACAAAACACCAAGCTAACAGCCATAGCATGTTACAATAAATCTTTCCGCCAAAAGCTGCCTGAGCCCCATCGCCACTTGTGTGCTTTACGCCAGCCGCCTGCCCGAGTTAGGCCCAAATGAATACACAGAAACTTGTATTAGGTTCAAAGCTGCTTGGCCAATGACTAGGACTTTTCATCTGTTAGCTCAGTCTTAATTAGCACAAATCTATATATTTTATAAGACTTATCTTATCGGACGCCTTAATGGAGTCCCTCCTTGTTGGTGGATCACATTGTGCCGCAGGAGCAGGAGCTGAGGGGAAAGAGGGTCCTTCATGTTTCTCCTTTGCTTAAATATGAGTCTCCTTGCTATGTCACTTCCTACCTGGATCAGCACTTCTCTACTACATTTCCCAGAGTCCTCTTTGATTTCTAGTCCTGTCTAACTTCCTGTTTCATTGGCCAAACAATATTTTAACAATCAATAAGATAAACATATACAGTACATTCCCCATCATAGCATATATGCAGAGAAATTGATGCAGATCCAATCAGGTCCTGTGATTGCTACTTCAGTCTCTTTGAGTCCATTTGAGCCCTATTTAGTTGATTCAGTGGGTCATGTTCTCCTGATGTCCTCCATCCCCTCTGACTTCTACAACCAATCTCTCCTTCTGCTCTTCCACGGGATCCTGATCTCTTAGGATAGAGAACACCTCCAACTTAGACTCTCTCTCTGTATAATGTATGACTGTGGGTCTGTGCACCCGCTTCTGTCTGCTACTAGGAGAAGCCTCCCTGATGACAACTGGACAAGAAACTGATCTATGAATATAAAAATATCATTATGAATCATTCAAGATATTTTATTTTTAATCTGCCGCTCATATTTGTTTCTACCCTAGGTCTCTGGTCTATCCAGTCTTGGGTTCCTGACCATCCAGTCATGTAGGGCATAGGCCTCAGGTTAAACCAAACATTGGTAGGCATGAATTCTGTGCCACCATTGCCCCAGTAAATCCTGCAGGGGGACAGATTGTAGGTGCAGGGTTTTGTGACTGAGTTGGTGTCCAGGTTTTTCTTTCTGTAGCCTGAAGAATACCTTCTCACACCAAAGAGACTAGAATGTAGTGGTCATGGTGCATGCTCTAGTTCTGACGTAATTATTTTTCATGGTTCAAGAGATAATCTTTTAAAAAGTTAAAGAGAACACAGATGTGTCAAAAATGGGAGATGAGGTTTTGAGTATTAAAACAATATACAGTTGTGAATGTACTATGTGTGCTATAATTGCAAAAATTCATTATTGGAAACTGTAAAGGATAAATAAACCTGATAATGTAAATGATAGTCAAAAATATTAAATTACAAAAATGAATGCCAACCTTCTACTTGTCTCTACAGATGGTCTATGTGGCACGGAATGCCAAAGATGTGGCTGTTTCTTACTATTATTTCTACCAAATGGCAAAAATTCACCCAGAGCCTGGTACCTGGGAGGAGTTCCTTGATAAATTCATGGCTGGGCAAGGTGAGTCCAACTGTTCCTTTAATTATGATTAAATAATTATGATTAAAAACTAAGCCGGGCATTGGTGGCACATGCCTTTAATCCCAGCACTCAGGAGGCAGAGGCAGGCAGATAATCTGTGAGTTCGAGGCCAGCCTGGTCTCCAGAGTGAGTGCCAGGATAGGCTCCAAAGCTACACAGAGAAACCCTGTCTTGAAAAACCAAAAAAAAAAAAAAAAAACTAATAGGATTTTTTTCAGAGCAACATGAAGCTTAAAATACGAATCTTAGGTTTATTATAAATTAATATTTACCAAGGCATGTACTAATACATTAGGGAGACTAAAGACAAAGGCCATTTACAAGGCCATTTCTTCTTTGAGGGAACTTTTGGATAATTTGTGGTATATATGTTTCTGGTTCTGGGTTTCGTCATTTCATTAGTAATGAATGACTGATGGCAATTTATTTAAGTGATTTCAAATCTCAATATCTATTCTGGATTATTTTCATTTTGTGTCCATTCTTTGGAGTCTTTTCTTTATCATTCAAAACTTCTGAGTGACTATCCCTTTAGACTCTGTTCTTTTGCAAACACATTCTCCTTTTTCATACTCATGATAGGAACTGCAGGAAAAATTCTTAATAAACATGTTCCCATATAAACACCCTCTTGGTAGCAGATGTGTGTAGATGACATCTGGCAGAGATTTAACACTTCTCCTCACTTGAACTGTTATTTGCTCATGGTGTCAATGTTATGGTCCCTGCCAAAGTCCAAAGGCATCTCAAAATGAAATGCACTCTACTCTTCCACGGAGCTTTTGCAACTCACTCTTATGTAATCTCATTTATTCACCATTCCCTCTCCTGTGAACTTCCACACTAATTACTGTTTGAAACACTCAGAGTCTACAACCTTAGAATCTACAAATCCAAGGAGAAACTGCCTTTACCCTTAAACTATGCAGGGCTATATCTTCACACAATTGTTTCCATAGCCTTCCATCGTGGTGGGTCTGTGTTAACTCCTTTCCCTGTAAGGGCATTGGTTGTATCTAGAACTAATTTTGTTACTTCTGTAGGAATCTTTTCTCTAAGCACAGGTAGGTATTTCAGAATATGGACTTTTGGGAAGACATGATTCACCTTGTACAAAAATCACTTTTCCTTTTGAAAGTAGATTTCAAATTCAGTGAGAAAGTAGTTACCTCATATACTTGTTTTTTATGTTTGACAGTTATTATATAATATTTTTATTTAGAAACAATCTTATTTTCCTATCAGCCCCAGTTCCCTCTTTTTCCCATCCTCCATGCTCCCTACCGACTCCCCCTTCTCACCCCCCATCCAATCCCCAGGGAGGGTGAGGCCTTCTATGTGGGGGAGGGGTCATCAAAGTGTGTCATATCATTATCCTTATGGACCCTTTACTTTAACTATAGAAATCACTGTATATGGACAGATAATCATGACTTAAAGACACAGTTAGCTATTTTCTACTTCATGTAAATGGTTTTTAATTTTACATTTTATCTTTAACTCTAGTGGGTTTTGGCTCCTGGTATGATCATGTGAAGGGCTGGTGGGAAAAAAGAAATGATTATCGTATCCTTTATCTGTTTTATGAAGATATGAAAGAAGTAAGTAGAAATTTCAATTTATATTTTAAGAAAGCCAAGATTTAATTTATTTATCACATACTCTCAATTTTTTACTCTATAAGCATGGCTAATTTATTTTAACTCTAGTTCTGGCAGACAGTTCTAATTAATTATAACTCCCACATCTTGCTACTGTTATCCATTCAAGTACACTAATATCTTTGAAATAAACTTCTACATTTCCACTCATGTCTTCAGATAGCTTAGTTGCTTCTTAAAAATAAAACCATAAATATAATTGTTTGAGTTTTGCCTTATAAAGTAAAAATAGAATAAAACTCTGAATATCTCTTCTACTAGTTAAGCTTAAACAGAACTTTATGGAACACATTCCTTTCTTTGTGACCAAATCTAACCAAAACGATTTTTCCCCTTTAATATTTCAGGATCCAAAGTATGAAATTCAAAAATTATTAAAGTTTCTAGAGAAAGACATGCCAGAAGAAATTGTAAATAAAATTCTCTACCATAGCTCTTTCAATGTAATGAAGGAGAATCCTAATGCAAATTACACCACTATGAAGAAAGAGGAGATGGACCATGCTGTGTCTCCATTCATGAGAAAAGGTGAGAAGAGTACAAATTCATTTCTGTATAGTTTCTGATCACATCGTGGAAGATATAAATAATCACACTAATGTGTGATTTTAAGAAACTATGAACAAATAAGTATGCTTAAGGGAGAAAAACTGAAAAGTAGAGGAAACAATAGCTTTAGAAGAAATACTGTGTAATATTCTGCATTATTTCTGTGAGATGTAATGAGAAACTTATTATATAGTTCTGTATATATATATATGTATATATATATATATATATATATAATTTTGTGCATGTGTTCATATGTGTCTGTGTGTATGAGTAGAAAATAGCAATAGATTTACTTAGAATTTCACATGATGCCATGCTTTCCCGTAGGATTTAGTTGAACAAAAATGTATTGTACTATGGCTTGATCCAGAGGGTGGGATAGTTATAGTTCTTAAGATACCATTCTTGCCCCATAATATAAGACAGTTGTGCAAATGAACAGAATATGGAACAGTCTGCTGAATGTTGCTGTATTTTTAAAGCCTGAACTTACCAAGGCTATACAAAGTACCAAGTGTTTTTTAAAAAGTGCAAAGTAGCAGAATCTCTGCCTTTGCCTGAAGACACGGGAAGAGTTCACAAAGTTAGTGTAACAAATAGGATAATATTTTGCATTTTGTTTTTGCTCACCTGATATCTTTATGAACCCTCTGCATTAACAAATGACTTGTAAAAAGTGGTGGTCTCAATGTGAGTAGTAAAGTCCTTTTGGCATAGTTCAAGAAAAGACATAGCAATAGAGAGATTAGAGATACATAGATAATAGATAATACCGCATACGTAACAATAAACTTTTCTATAAAATTTCCACAGCCCTGAGGAGTCAGTAATTTAATCACATTGCTTAAACACAAGCAACATGTTGCTAGGTGATGATCATTGTGACTCCTTCAGTTTTGTTTGATTTTCCTGGCCTCAGGTCCTTTTGTATCTCTTTTTAAAGCCAAAGCCAAAAGCAGGACACACACATGTGACATGCATATGATCATGCTATAGATGATGGAAACTGGCCTTGTATTTTGAAACTTCTTTTCAGAGACTGTGCACATCAAACATGTTACACTTACACTGTCCAAAACATAAAAAGATATGTTTGAAGTTACTGGGTGAGACAATCACACAACACAAGATGCATAGAAGTGGAAAACATTCTTGTTGTAGAGAAGAGTTATTAGCAGTAATAAAAAATAAGGAAAGTTCTTGAGATAAAGAAATTTTGATAAAAGTCTAGGAACAAACAATCAAGACTCATTCTAATTAGAATTTTTATAGATTCTAAATGATTTTTGTCAGGGAAGGAAATATATATATATGCTCAGAAAGTATATAGTAAGTAAATGTGCTTAATTATGTTTAGCCCAGTAATTTCCAATCTTGCTTGATAATAATGCTTTTCACATAAGTTGTCATTTTATCCTGTAACCTAAAGCTTTAAATTGACTGAGAAGTCCCCTTTGCCTTTGGTTACCAGGGTAGTGACAGCCCAAGAATTAGCATTGCGATTTTCAGGTGGCATTTCCTCCACTGGTCTTTCTTTATGATACTTTAGAATTATTGTTATTATTATTATTTTTACGTAAGATGCTTTAAAAATCTACAGAAGTTGGAAGGTTAAGAAGGTTTAGGCCTAAGAGGTAGATATGGCTGGGGTTATGATGCATATGAAAAGTTATAAACTAAATATATGGGCAGGGAGGTTGAGTGGGGGAAGAACAGAAGAGAGCAAGATAAGAGATAATATAATAGAGGGAGACATTATAGATTTAAAGAGAAATCAGTCACTAGGGAAATGTCTGGAGAGTTACAAAGATGATACCAACTAACAATCTAAGTAACAGAGGAGAGGATACCTTAAATACCCTCTCCTGATAATGAGATTGATGACTAATTCATATACCATCCTATAGCCTTCATCCAGCAGCTGGTGGAAGTAGAAGTAGACACCCACAGCTAAACCTTGAACTGAACTGAAATCCAGATGCAGAGAAGGAGGACTGATGAGCAAAGGGTCCATACCAGGCTGATAAAACCCACAGAAACAGCTGACTTGAACAAGGGAGAGCACTTGGTCCCCAGACTGATAGCTAGGAAACCAGCATGGGACTGATCCAGAACCCCTGAATGTGGGTGTCAGTGAGGAGACCTTGGAAATCTATGGGGCCCCTTGTAGTGGATCAGTACTTATCCCTAGTGTAGGAATGAACTCTGGGAGCCCATCCCACATGGAGGGACACTCCCTGAGCCTAGACACAAGGGGGTTGGCCTAGGCCCTATCCCAAAGCATATGACAGATTTTGAAGACCACCTATGGAGGGCCTCACCCTCCCTAGGGAGCAGATAGGGTATAGGATAGGTAGGGTATTAGTTGGAGGGGCAGGGGAGGAGGGGAGGGAGAGGGACTTGGAATTAACATGTAAAATAATCTTCTTTCTAATAAAAATAATAAAATTAAATATACATATTCAAAATTAATCATTCAAATTACTATTAGACAGGAATTTAATAGTAATCCCAAATTTTCTCCATTGTGTGTGTGTTTCTTTTTTTTACAGGCATTTCAGGTGATTGGAAGAATCAGTTTACTGTAGCCCAGTATGAGAAATTTGAAGATGATTATGTCAAGAAAATGAAAGAGTCAACACTTAAGTTTAGATCAGAGATCTAGGGGGTATTTGCTTCTTAATCTCCTTTGGCTGGCACTAAAATTAGAGGGGGGAAGGCTCATTCATGGATTAGTGAAATAAAATGTTGCATATGATTTTTCTGTATTTACATGGCCTACAGACCAAACTTACCAATAACAAGCAATAATTCTCTCCTAGTTCTCTTTCTTATAGATAGGTTCATGCAGTAGTTTTCACCCCACTTTCTGTTAACCAAAGAATAGAATTTTAAGAGTCCTTATAACATGGCATGTTTCCAGTTTCTGTTACTTATAGCTTTCTGATTCTCTGCACATGGTCTTCTGTCTCTTAGGACATAGGTTTTTAAATGAGGTGGTTTCTCTCCAGGGTTAGGACACCCTCTAGACCAAGGCTACATGTCATCAACTCTAATTCTTCAATTTAATCTGTTGTTATTTTAGATATTAATATATCATGTCTTTAACATTGCCAAATTATCCAAATTTTTAATGTTGGGATCTCCTCTTTCATCTTAGGGTTAGTTTAGAAATATTACATTTAAATAAACTAATCAGTAGTGCATATTTTACAGGATTTAAAGCAAGGGAAATTAGAGAACTAATTATTTTTATTCTTCATGTCATTTACTGAACATATTGTGAAATTTATTGCAGAAAATATTGAGGTTTGTTCAAAATCCAGATGGCTACTCTGGGGTCCAATTTTATCCATTAGCATCACTTCTGAGATGAAAACTCTGTACAATTAATTACTTTCAGTAGCCCTCTTCTTGAATGGCTTTTGAATCACATTGGGGGTCATTTTGCTATTGTTCCTTCTGAAATTAACCATTCCTAAGTGAGATAAATACTCATTTTTGAACTATCAAGAGATAAGAATTTAAGATACTTTAAGATTTGTCTCCAGGAACTAATGCTTAGTAAAGTAGGGAAACTGAAAGGTAGATGAATAAAGTACTGTATGATTCCATTCAATAATTGTGTTATTTGAGAAGAGATGGGAGAGAAAGAAGCAAGCAAATATGTCATGGAGAGATGGGAGAGAAAGAGAAGCAAAGCAATCAGTGAACTACAAAGAGAGGTGGAACTAGAGGTGCTACAGCAATGAGGCAGTAAGAAACACCCCATGTGAGAGCCTTACAAAGTCACATGAGACCATGGTGATGACTGGGTTCCTGCTGTGCCCACAGCCATGTCTGTTTCGTGGTCCTGAGGCATTTGGTGTCTGTGTTGATGTCTGGAGCCTGTACTACCACTGAAGGTTATGAAGCTGTATGGGGTCAATACTACGACCAGAAACCATCTTGATGTCCAAGGTGGAGTTGACTCCACCAGCCACCACATGGTCTTGGTAGAGTTAGCCCTGACAGCATGGTGTAGAAGAGCTGACGCTGCCCCTTGCCAGGGCAGCACAGATAAGCTGGCCCTGGGGGTGTGGGTGTGGAAGAACCTGCTCTCATGGCATGGGTGCAGGAGAGCTGGCCCTGCTCTTTTCTGGGGCAACACTGGAGATCTGGCCCCACCCTTGCTGGCTGATGCATATGGGAGGACTGGCCCAATCCTTTGGCTAGGTGGTAAGGGAAAAAACCCAATAAATTCATATTCAACTTACAAAAATCAATCAATCAATCAATCAATCAATCAATCAAGTAACAAAATGTATAGTGAAAAAAGAAAAGAAAAGAAAGAATCTTCTGGCACTAATTAATGGTACCAGAATTTAATGAAGAATCTGAAGAGACAAGATTGAAGTTGGACAAGCTAGTCTGTAATATATTAATATCCTGATACTAATTGTATGCCATAGGTTTACTAGATGTTTCTATTGGAGAAACTGTATTTTTTAAGTTATAATTTTGGGGGAGCACATGGACCCCAGACTGATGTCTGGGAGGCCAGCAAGGGACTGATCTAGACCCATGAATGTGGATATCAATGAGGAGGCCTCAGCAATCTATGGGGCCCCTGGTAGTGGATCAGTATTTACCCCTGGCACAAGAAGGGACTTTGAGAGCCCATCCCACATCAAGGGACTCTCTCTCACTGGGGAGCAGACTGGGGATGAGGTGGGGGGCTGGTGGGGAGTTGGGGTGAGGGGAGGGAGAGGGAAAAGGGATTGACATGTGATGCAGCCTTGTTTCTAATTTGAACTAATAAAATTTTTATAACGTTGTATGTTATTATCTTAATTTCACTATTATGTTAAATGAATGTCTTATTAATCTTAAGTATTCTTTTAATATTTTTATTTTAGAAACAATCTTATTTTACATATCCAACCACCCCTATTCCCTTGCCCTCTCATCCTCGAATACCCGCACTGACCCACCCAACCCTCCCTCTACCCACCCCCAAGATGATCCCCGCAGGGGATCATCAAATACTGTCACATCACTTGGGAGAGGGCCTAGGCCCACTTTCATGTATTTGGACTGCAATAGTATCCCTCCATAAGGTATGGGTTCCCAAAGTTCATTTGTATGCTAGGGATAAACAGTGGCTCCACTGTTAAAGGTCCCATAGACTGCCCAGGCCTTCTACCTGGCATCCACATTCAGAGGGCTTGGTTCAGTTCAATGCTGGTTTCCCAGCTTTATGACTAGGGTCTCTGTGTTCTCACTAGGTCAGGCCAGCTGTGTCTGTGGATTCTCCAGCACAATCTTGGCTCCTTTGCTCATCCCTCTCTACAACTGGATTCTGGGAGTATGGCTCAGTGTTTAGCTGTGGGTGCCAGCTTCTGCTTGATCAGCTCATGGGTGAAGGCTCTAGAATGGCCACCAAAGTAGTCATTAATTTCATTAGGGGAAGAGCGTCAAAGGCAGCATCTCCACTACTGCCTAGATTCCTAGTTGGGGTCATCCCTGTGGATCCCTGATCATTTCCCTAGTGCCAGACCTTTCTCTAAACCTATACTGGCCCCCTCTATCAAGGCATCTTCTTTCTTGATCTCCTCTATTTCTCCCATGTCTCAGTCTTCCTGATCCTGCTTATTCTCCCCACCCCTCCTCTTCTCCCTTTCTCTTTTTCCTACTTCCCACCTCTCTCCACACCCAACCCATGCTCCTAATTTGCTCAAGGGTTATTTCCCTTTCCCCTTCTTAGGGGGACCATGTGTTTTCCTCTTGGGATTGTCCTTATTTCCAGGTTTGTCTGGTGGTGTGGGTTGTAGGCTGGTAGTCCTTAACTCTATGTCTAATATACATATATGAGTGAGTACATATCATGCTTGTCTTTCTGTGACTGGGTTACTTCACTCAGGATGGTTTCATCCAGTTCCATCCATTTGGCTACAAATTTCAAGATTATACTGTTTTTATTTTATTTATTTATTTATTTATTTATTTATTTATTTATTTATTTATTTTCCACTGAGTAGTACTCCATTGTGTAAATGTACCACATTTTCTCTATCCATTCTTCAGTTGAGGAACATCCACATTACTTAAAGGTTCTGGCTATAACAAAACCTCTATGAAAATAGTTGAACAGATGTCCTTGTTGTATGAATGTGCATTCTTTGGGTATATGTCCAAGAGTGGAATTGCTGATTCCCATTTTCCTGAAAAACTGTCACACTGATTTCAAAGGGGTTGAACAAGTTGGCACTCCTGGCAGCAATGGAGGAGTGATCCAATTTATCCACATCCTCTCCAGCATAGACTTTCATTGGTATTTTTGATTTTAGGTGTAAGATGGTATTTTAGAGTTGTTTTGAGTTGCATTTCCATGATGGCTAAGGATGTTGAGCACTTTCTTAAGTGTCTTTCAGCCATTCTAGATTTCTCTATTGAGAATTCTCTATGTAGTGCTGTACCCTACTTTTTAATTGTATTGTTTTGTGCTTTGATGGCTAGCTTCTTGAGTTCATTATATATTTTAGAAATCAGCCCTCTGTCAGATGTGGGGTGGGTGAAGATCTTTCCCCATTCTGTGGGCTGCCATTTTGTCTTGTTGATGGTGCCCTTTGCCTTACAGAAGCTTCTCAGTTTCATGAGGTCCCATTTATTAATTGTCCATCTTAGTGTCTGTGCTACTGGTGTTATGTTCAAGAAGCAGGCTCCTGTACCAATTCGTTAAGGGGTACCTCCCACTTTCATTTCTTAGAGGTTCAGTGTGGCTGGATTTATGTTGAGGTCTTTGATCCATTTGGACTTAAGTCTTGTGCATCAACATCAACATATATCTATCTGCAGTCTTCCACATGCCAGTATCCAGTTATGCCAGAACCATTTGTTGGAGATGCTTTCTTTTTTCCATTGTATAATTTTAGCTTCTTTGTCAAAAATCAGGTGTTCATTGGTGTGTGGGGAAATATCAGGGTTTTCAATTTGATTCCATTGGTCTACCTGTCTATTTTTGTGCCAATACCAAGCTGTTTTCAGGACTATAGCTCTACAATAGAGCTTGACATCAGGAATGGTGATGCCTCCTGAAGTACTTGTATTGTAAGGGTTGTTTTGGCTATCCTGGGTCTTTGGTTTCTCCATAAAATGTTGAGCATTGTTCTTTCAAGATCTGTGAGGAATTGTGTTGGGATTTTGATGGGAATTGCATTGAATCCAAAGCTGTCCACTCTCTCCATACCTATTCAATATTGTCTTTGAAGTTCTATCTAGGGCAATAAGACAACAAAAGGAGATCAAGGGGATACAAATTGGAAAGGAAGAAGTCAAACTGTGACTATTTGCAGATGATACGATAGTCTACTAAGTGACCCCCAAAACACTACCAGGGAACTCCTACAGCTGATAAACACCTTCAGCAAAGTTGCAGAGTACAAGATTAACTAAAAAAATCAGTAGCCCTGCTGTATACAGATGATGAATGTGTGGAGAAAGAAATCAGAGAAACATCACCCTTAAAATTACCACAAACAACATAAAATACCTCGGTGTAATGCTAACCAAAAAAGTGAAAGACCTGTATCATGAGAATTTTGAGTCTTTAAAGAAAGAAATTAAAGAAGATACCAGAAAATGGAAGATAGAAAATAGATAGAAAAATAGATAGATCCTATCTATCCCATGCTCTTGGATAGATAGGATCAACATAATAAAATTGGCAATCTTGCCAAAAGCATTCTACATATTCAATGTATCCCCTTCAAAATCCCAGCCCAATTCTTCACAGACCTTGAAAGAATAATACTCAACTTTATATGGAGAAACAAAAGACCCAGGATAGCCAAAACAACCCTTACAATATAGGAACTTTAGGAGGCATCACCATTCCTGACTTCAAGCTCTATTATAGAGCTGTAGTCCTGAAAACAGCTTGATATTGGCACAAAAATAGACAGGTAGACCAATGGAATCAAATTGAAAACCCTGATATTACCCCACACACCTATAAACACCTGATTTTTGACAAAGAAGCTAAAATTATACAATGGAAAAAAGAAAGCATCTACGACAAATGGTTCTGGCATAACTGGATGCTGGCATGTGGAAGACTGCAGATAGATATATGTCTATCGTGATGCACAAAACTTAAGTGCAAATGGATCAAGGACCTCAATGTAAATCCAGCCTCACTGAAACCATTAGAAGAGAGAATTGGAAATACCATTGAATGAATTGGTACAGGAGACCACTTCCTGAACATTATAGCAGGAGCACAGACACTAGTGCTAGCCAGTGTCTAGACACAGTGCTAGACAGAAGCTAGTCTCCAAAAGACCAAACAATCCAATTAAAAAGTGAGGTACAGAACTAAATAGACGGTATATTCTTTTGTGTTTGGATGGAATGTTATATAGATTTCTGTTAATCCATATTGTGTCATAACTTCCGTTAGTTCCTTTGTTTTGTTTTTAAGTTTGTGTGTGGTGGTCCTGTCTAGTGGTGAGAGTGGGGTGTTGAAGTCTCCCACTATAAGTGTGTGAGGTTTTATGTGTGATTTGAGCTTCAGTAATGTTTCTTTTATGAATATGGGTGCCTTTGTATTTGGGGCATAGATGTTCAGAATTGA